TCAGAAAGGAGAAGGTTACAGGGTCATTATTAAATGCAAAGACCTTTGACCTTGAGAAAGGACAGAATTTTCATGTTCTGCCCATAATGCTGTTGTTGATGATGATGCCACCATATGCTACCAAGTTGATTTCAACTCAAAGCAACCCTACAGGAAAGAGTAGAACTGCCCCATAGGGCTTCCTAGGCCCAAACTGTTCTCTGGATCTTTTTTTCTATGGAACTGATAGTGGGTTTGAATTACTGGCCTTTCAGTTAGCAGCTGGGCAATTAATGGTTGCATCACCATGGTGATATAAATGAAATAATATGCTTCCTTAGATTGTAGAGCTGGAATGTCCTCCCAGAAGTTTCCCCTCTGCTCTCTGGCTATTTGCTCCTAAAGTCCTTTGTTTACCTTGATTGTAGTGCTTATCAGACTGAGTTCTTGTGCCTGCTCCTCTCTTGGTATCTGTCACCAGACTCTGAGCTTCATGAGGGCAGAGAGCATTCCTAGCACATAGCAGAGTGTAAGACATGGCAAGTACCCAGTATGCATGTGTGGGAGGAAGGAATGAGGGACTGGATGGATCCCTGTGAGGAAGGGGCAGATAAGTCAAGGAAACACATGCATAGAGTTGGGTCCTCTACGTCCATCTGCTAAGTGTGGCATTCTCTTACAACATGCTCATTCTGTTTGTAACTAATTTTATATTATTCATGATTCCATAAGAGAATCTATCCTTGTGCACAGAATTTGTGCAAATAATTTCTTCTGATTGTTATGAAAGTAGCTCCCTTTCATTCTAACCCAATTCCATATGCAAAGAATATTATAAATGATATTAAGGAGCCCTAGTGGAATGGTGTATTACATGCTGGGTTGCTAACCTAAAGGTCAGAAGTTTGAATCCACAGGAGAAAGATAAGCAGTCTGATCCTATAAAAATTTTACAGTCTTGGAAACCCAGAGGAGGAGTGCCAAGAGTTTGAATAGACTCAAGGCCGTAGGTTTTGGTTTTTAAGAACGGTTTAAAAGGCATCAGGTGATCCTGTGGGTAAAAGCATTAGGCTTACTTACCAGGAGTATGGCCAGTGGTTCAACTCCATCATGACTGGTATTATGCCTTTACCAATGTTGGGATTAAATCAGCAATCAGGCTTCTCATTTAAGTGACATTTCCAGAAGAATGTGGTCCTTATTTTTGTGGGAATTAAATCTCACTTAATTTGAGCTCTAGGTCATTCAGTCCCAGGAGTGGTGACTAATGGTTGGTCAGGAGAGGCCAACATTTCCATGTAGGCATCACCACACTTAGGTGAAAGTTCACATTTCTGATCTTCAGAAATAATTTGTCAAGAAGGATCATAACATAGCCAGCTAGAGGGAGAGTTTGAAGGTTGCTGAAGGAACAAGTCATTCTGTCACCATAAATGCGTGACAGAAAACAGAAGTTGCTAATGATAACACCAGAGACATGTCTGTAGTATAAATGCCCCCCAATCTTCCTTCCCAGTTTAAGGAAGAAAAGCTGGAGATGGGAGGGCGGTGACCAAGGCAGCACAGAGTACTCTCTTTGGCCTAGAAAATCCATGCATATATACTTATGGATACTATGACCATAAAAATAAGGTCAGAATAAATATCATTTAATACTGGAATGTTGTAGGTGATATCTAAGTGGGAAAATGAAGGTCAAGTGTGATTTACACAATCTAAAAGAGCAGATAATCCAAGAAAATAGTTTATATTATTAGCTTCTGGGTTTAGATTTCATTGAGTTGCAAGATTATAGCAATCAATATGTACCTTTAAATAATATTTTGTTTAAACCAATTATCAGTTATTTCAGCTTTTTTGGCAGACCTCACAGCTGATTTCAGTAAAAGGCATGAGGATTGAGACTTATTCCTTTTTTTTTTTTTTTTAAAGTAGCCACACGGAAGAGTTGACAGTGACCCAAATTCTCTTTAAAAGGGTTTTTTTTTTGGTACATCCATAATAATCTTTTTACCTCTAAATATAAGTCAGGAAAAATAGAGATCAATGATGAATGTCCACTGTTGAGCTGAGGGTGCTAATATGCCAAACCTCTGAAAACAATTTTGATACTATGTAGCATAGGACAAAGTTAGTGTACAGAAATGTACATGACCTTTAGAGAAAAACTTTCCAAATTCAACATTAATGAGTGAATTTTCCAGGTGAAACCAGAAGTTCATATAAATAAGGGGCTAATTTTTTTTTTAAGTCCTGGCTTTTGGAAAGTCTAGTCTTTGTAATTTCTATTATTAAACAGAAAAATCAAAGCCAAGTCAAGGATCACATTTCCAAAAGATAACTTTCCCTGATATCCCCTGGCATAAGGTTTAGCATCCCTATTTTGAAGTGTGAAATCTTTAAGTCACTATTTCCAAGCCAGAAGGAAAAAAAAGTTCTTAAGGCTCCTCTTCTAAAAATTATTTTGTCATCAGTAATAAAAGGTGTTTAAATAACTGACTCTAGTGCTTGGCTAGACTCTAGGCTACAAGAAATATATGAAGTTAATTGTTAGTGTAACCATTATTTCTTTCAACAGGCCATGAAAGAGCAGGGAGTGGGGAGACTATCAACTATGGGACATGTATGCATATTACCAGCTTATTCTAGCATGTAATAGTTAATAATTTATATACAGTTAATTGGTGTCAGGGAATGACATTCTTCTGGAAGAGATTTTTTTTTTTTAAAAAGCAGCTAAGTAAACTTAACAAGATTGAGATTTTTAAACAGTAAAGGAGTAAGCGTGGGAATCTGAAGAGTAGCAAAATCATTTTAACCATTTTAAGGAAAGAATGTAAAATGTGTTTAGAAGCCACACTCCGAAGGGCCCTTAGACTGTAGAGCCTTTGACACCAGGTAACTGCTGAGATCTTCATTCTGAGGGGAAGGGGATGGGGGTGGGGAAGAAAGAACTGCAGTCCACATCAGTGGCCTGTCTGGAGCTAGAAGCCGGGGCTGCAGCGAACAAATCTCCCAGAGTCTTTCTGAGTAAGCACATAGCCAGAGGAAATGAAAACGGGGAAAACAATTTGGACACAGAACAATGCAGTGTAGTTTCATTTTGATTTCACAGTCAAATACAAAAGTGGTTGTGCTTTAAAATATCTGTGCTGTTGTTAGGTGCCATGGAGTCCAAGAGACTCACAGCTGACCCTCCAGCAGGTTTTCAGAGGCAGTAAATCACAAGGGTGGAGAACACTCATCTTTCTCCCCTGGAGCAGCTGGGAGATTTGAACCACTGCCTTTGTGTTGGCAGCGAAACTCCTTGCCCACTAGGCCACCAAAGCTTATATACATTGACAAAACGCAACCAACGTACTAAGTATAGGAAAGCTAGCTCCCCTTCTGTTCTGAGCGTGCTTTAGCACTAGAAAAAGTCGTGGGAAAGAGAAGATACAGCTGTTTCCAGGCAAATGGCCCAGAACTGGTTCCAGCATCAACCTCCAGTCTCCAAAGAAGGAGAGAAACACGCCCAAAGCAGTTCACCAGCACATGTGTGCGAGGCGGTGAGGAGCGTGGGTTGCGCATGTCAGTCTGGGACCCACTCGGGTAGCCGGGGCAGGTGAAGGAGCCCAGGCGCTGAGCGCCACGGGGAAGCCGGTTCAAATCCCGCTCTGCCCACAATATTCTCACATTCCTCCACTGTGCGCGCTAACCAGGCTCTTCACTTTCCTGGGCCCCAGAAAGAGTTCCCCTAACTATCCCTTTCCCAACCTACAACAAAGAAGGCTCTGTAATGGATGCGATGTCGCAGCCCACAGAGATCAAAACCAGGGAGAAATGCACCTTGCTGTGCCCCACGCTGGTCAGGGGCGATCTCCCGAGGGTCAGCCGGGGAGGCTCCCGGGACGGGACAAAGGGGCTGCGCGGAGCTGGCGGGGCAGCGGGTGGGGAGACTGGGGAGAGGGCGCTGGCCGACACTCACCTTCGCAGCCACTCGGCTGCGCTCCTCGTGGAGCAGGAGGGCGGCGAGCAGCAGCAGCAGCCAGACCTCGAGCCGCAGCCCCATGGTCCTGCGTCTCGCGGCGGCGGGCGGCGGCGGTGGCGGCGGGCAGCGGGCGCAGAGCGCGGCGCCCTAGCAGCAAGAGAGGCGCTCGGGGAGCCTCGGGCGGGTCACTCTCAGAGAGCGGAGACGCGAGCGCAGTGCATCGTCTAGGGCGCCGCTGTTCTGGGAGGCGGACTTGTGAGCTGATCGCGGAGCTCCCCCAATTTGTTGGCGCTGCCCCCTCCCCTCGGCCGTGCGCGGGCGGCGTTTCAAAGGGGAGGACCCTGAGCAGCTTCTAAGAGGGCGAGGACGCGCGCGGGCGGCGAAGAGCGGCTGCTGGGAGCCAGGAAGTCGGGGCTCTGGGGCTCGCGGCTCTGAACCTCTGCCGCGCGCCCTCCTGCCCGTCACCCCGGGGGCGCTCTGCGAGCCGGGAGCTCCTGCTCGCTCTCTCGTCTCCGACCGAGGGCCGAGAGGGGAGGGCCGAGGGCCGGGAGGCCGGCGCCGAGGGGGTGGGGAGAGCGGCCGCTGAGTGTGTGCCTTCCCTCCGGCTGGCGGCTCGGCTCCCACAATCGGTGGTGGAAAGGGAAATGCGCATAGGCACCAGCCCCTGAAGCCTGATCCGGGAGGTGAGTGCGAGCCCCAGGCCTGGAGAGCAGGGCCCCTTTGCACCCCAGCACGGCCTCCAACTCTGGGGGAGCCGTTTACAAACTTGAGTGCACCTTCTCCTGGTTAACATTTGGAGGGCAAAGTGGCGAGGGGAACTGGGATCAGCCTGACTCCTTTGAAAGGAGCATCAGTGGCCAAGAGGAGAGGTTTCTTTTTCTCTGCTTAGGGCACATCTAGCACCTACACAAGAGAAGGTGGACCCCAACTGCTCCCACGCTTATCACAGAAAGAGAGTGGCACTGTCTCCTCCACTCCTCGCTGAATCCGCTTTGTCTGTTGCCTTCCAGTCTAAGAGAGACCAGGAGCCCTGAGGGGCCGAACTGAGAGAATGGGTCGAGACCAGGGTTCTGCGTCCTGCCCTCTCCTGTGGCGGTAAGAGTTCCCACACTTACATTTATGGGTCCCTGGTGGGAACTTTTTCTATGTATGTGTATAACTTTAAGAAGTTTTCAAGTTGGGAGCTTTGTTAACATAATTCTTCCCTCTTTTTCCATTCAGGTGGCTGTTGCTGGGGACCTTGATAGTGGGATTGTTGGCCCAGAGCGCCCTAGCGGTAAGTCCTGGCTCCATTTCCACACTCTGATTCACGCGCCATAGAGCATAAAATGAGAGAGCTTGGGACTTCAGAATGGCCTTGCAAGAAGACAGCTCGTTCTTGCTCTCTTGTGTCTCTGTGTGTATATGTCTGTGTTGCACAGTTCCTAGCAGCCTCTTTTCCCAAAAACAATAACAAAGTTTCTTATCCTAAAGAACTCCCCTTAATTCCCTTCCCTTGGTTTTCCGGACCTTAGTCATTGCTTGTTACAGGCGTTGGCCCTAACAAGGGATAAAATACTTAAAAATGTAGCCTAAAGGCACCTTTTCCATTTGTTTGAGCAAAACCCCAATTTTGAGAAACCAGCAAAGCAGTGAGTCACGTGGTGACATGGCACTAAGGTTTAAAGACCTAAAAAGCTGCAGCAGAACCCTGGAACTCCTTTCCAGCGCTGTCCTTCCTAAGGGTTCTTGTTTGGCTGGAGTTGTTTTGGTGGTGGTTTTTGAAAGGGTTGTTTGGTGCTTGGTTTGCTTTTGCAAATGGAGAGCTTTGGTGGAATGGATAGGCAAGGAGGAGAACATGATGGCAGCATACTTCACATTAACAATTGTGAGGGACTTAGAGAAGAACGCCCATTCACTCTCAAATCTTCATCTCTTACTGAAAGACCTGCTAAGCTTTGCACCAGTGTTTCTCAAGGGCCCGCCCCTTCAGCAGCCCATCCTCCAGAACAGCTCAGCCAATACTGTGACTACCCTCAGTGACTACAAGTATGAGGTTTTAAAAAGTTTTGTTTTAAATCATAGAAGCTACATAATTGTGCTTTATGTAGTACCCATGGCTGAGCTGCCACAAATTTGATGAGGCTTTTCAGTTGAGGACAGAGCTGTTTAACCATAGTCCAGCAGGCAGGGAGCTCTGGTGGCCTACTGGTAAGGAGCTGTGTTGTCAACCTAAACATGATCCAACGTTGGGTGAATTTAAGAGGTTTCTTCAACTCTGTTCTGTATTCACTCTCTGATGAGGTGTAATATATGTACCACCCATCTCAGAAGTGAAGTTCTATTGAGAATTACCCCTCCCACTTTTAATTCCCCTTTCTATTGTAGAATAATGCATAGTCAATGGAGCCCTTGTTACAGTTGTTTAGCCGGATTTAAAAGCTTTTCTTTTTTTTCATTCTTACTTTATACTGGTTTATTTACAAAGTTTGTACACATTGTTTATCACACTGAATCTTTCCATTTCCTTCATCCCCCTCCACCCATCAAATATTGTGACCCTAGGATTAAAGACTCCCCTGCCCCTGCCCATCCTCAGCCCTCTGCTCCACACCCCGCCCCCCTTGAATCCTCATACTCTTTCTACCATAATGGTCTTTTACAATATTTGTCCTTAGGGGATTGAGTTAGTTCACTTAACATGATGCTCTCCAGTGCCACCCAAGTTAGGTCATAATTTACAGAATCATTGTTCCTGCAGGCAGGGTAGCTTTTATGTAAATGATTGTTGTATTTTACCATCCTAATGTAGAGGAAAGAAGGATTTGAGGAGTATAGAGCTAGAAAGTGCTATCCTAGCTGGAGAAAGAATCACATTAATTCCACTCTTTCTGCTGCTTTCTGCTCAGGTGTAGATATCAAAGTATGAAGTAAGAGGAGAGTACTGAGGCTTTGGCCAGAGTATTCCAGACTAATGCCTTCTTAAAACCTGTCTCCCTCTTCCTACACTTCATCAGTTTAGAAGATCACATCTCAGATTGTGTGCTAACTCATTGACTCTTTTCTAGGCCTTTATGTTAACATTCTATAGAAGGCAGGGCTCACACTTAAGAACCTTGAACCAGTTCTAGGAAGAGATTCCTAGAAAGTTGTGTTTAGAGTGCAAGTTGCTTGGATCATCTTTTGTCATAATCTTGAGGGAGATGGGTGGGACTCACTGGAATTCTTATTTTAATTGATCGTGATTTGATTGATGGGAAGGACATCATGAAGACTGAGATACTAATCCCAGCCTTTTTCTTTACCAGGAAAGAATCTTAGACTAATTTCATAAATCCTTCACTTTGAAAATCATGTGAATATTGCCAGGTTTGGTGCATAGTACCAGCATCCTTCACATGCTGTCCATATGCTTCTGTGACTTCTGGTAAAACATCTCAGCTCTCTCAAGCTCACCCTTGATCTCTTTGATTCTTTGGTTCTTACATATAACAAAGAACATTCTTCAAGCTTTATCTTGGGCTCCATGCTGACAAGTCACCTGAAAGACTTGTTAAAAATTCACTTATCTAGTCCTCATTCCATACTTCTTGATCAGAGTCTCTGGAGTTAAGCCTGGGAATGTCTCGATACCAAAGTTAGAGGGTCAGACTATTGAATTTGGAGTCGCTTACTAATGTGTTACCTATTTCTTTGTTTTTAGAGTTTCTGAATGCAAAGGCAAACAGATAAAATGTTACTAGATACAAATGAATAGGTATTGTTCATAGTCAGACAATCTACTTTTGTTATGTTGATTGATAGGAATCAATCAAATGTAATAGACTCAAATCACTATTTCATTCATTAACTTTGAATTGACCACTGACTTTTATTCTTTAATGAATTTAATTTAATAAATATTTTAATTTTTCCTTAATCATGTTATTGTTGTATGTTATCAAGTTTCCCCTGACTCAAAATGACCTTAACAGGACTGGACTCTTTGCATCCATAGGATTTTCATTGGCTAATTTTGAGGAGTAGTTCTCCAGACCTTTCCCCTAGTCTGTCTACCATGGAGGCTCTGCTTAAGTCCATTCAGCTTCACACCAACATGGAAAGCCTCCACCAACAGTTGGATCATGGCTATACTGAGGTACACTGATGGGAATCGAACTCAGATCTCCCACATCAATGGAAAGAAATTCTCTCACTGCCCCACTCTTTAACTGTCGTCACTTTTAAAAATATCTTTCTTAATAGTGCCCTATTCAGCTTCTCTCCTGTTTGCCTCTCATGTTCAAGAATCTTCTCTTACTGCTCATTTGTTCCAAGGACACTTCCAAAGTGTAGGTCAGTTTAATAAAAAATGCTGCCTGTTTCACCTTGAGGGGCGTTGCAAGAGAAGCAGTTGAAAATGGCTAGTGAAGGGTCAGCTCATGTATTTGATTAATACTTTTATGTGTGAATTTCTATGCATTAATTAATTTACTTCTCATAGAAAAAAAAATACTTGGTATGTAGTTAACCGGTTTTGTCCCTATTTTACAGGTAAGAAAGCAAGTTGAAGGGACTTTAAATAACTTTCCAAAAGTCATTCTCTGTGTTTAATGACAGAACTGAGATTTGAACCTGAGCTCTTAACCAGCACCCTAAACTTTCCAAAGTCAGACAATAGCCAGGGTGCTACCAAATTTCATTATTTCTCTTTGGCTTTCTCTCTTTGGTCTTTGAAGTAATACAGTGAAACCCTAGTGGATGCCTAACTCACTGCCTTCAAATCATTTTCGACCCATGGTGACCCTCTATCAGATTTCATTAACCCTGGATCTAAATGGGAGGTCACTGCCCATATTTCCATCTATTCCCCCCCATCTTTCTTGTACCTTCTATTAGTTTCATACTTCTGACCTTTCAGTCATCCAGAGTTTAACCTACTATGCAGCAAGGGAGCAGAAGGGAGAACAGGAAGCTAAGATCACAGCTAGGCAACATGTACTCAGGATGAACTTGGATACTAGTGCAATGAGTGTACAAGTCAGTGTTGCTGTTGAGTACCGGCGAGTCAGAACTGACCCATAGCTGATCCTTCAGTGGGTTTTTAGAGGCAGTAAACCACATGGGAGGAAATCGCCCATCCTTCTCCCTCAAGAGCAACTGGTGGATTTGACTCTGGAGCCTTGGGAATTTCTACTTAGCTTCTTACCACTAAGCCACCAGAGCTCCATTTTTATCCAGATGGTCTTTTCTGAAGGTGCCTTCATTGCATCTTGAATGCAGTGCCGTCGTGTTTAGCACATACTTAAAATGCCCATCCGAAAAGGCAATGTGGTGTACTGATTGCAGTCACTGACTTTGAAGGCAAACTCTCTGGGTGCCATTCTTAACTTTGGAGCGGTTGTGTGCCATTGTTGTTGCTGTAATTTGCCATTGAGTCAGCTCTGTCATGGCCCTGTGTACAACAGAATGAACCCAACCAAGTCCTGAGCCATCCTCCTAGTCTTCGCTCTGTTTGAGGCCATTGTTGTACCCATTGTACCCATCCACCTTGTTGAGCTTCTCCCCCCTTTTCACTAATCCTCTATGGAGCATGATGCTCTTCTCCAGAGATTTTGCCACTCTTGACATTTGATGTTGCTGTTATGTGCCATCAAGTCATCTACGACTCCTAGTGACCCTTGGAGCTATGGATCAGAACAGAACCTTGCCCTATCCCGTCCCATCTTCATAATCTTCAGCATATTTGAGCACTCATTAAATCTGTCTTGGTTTTCCCTTCTCCCTGCCCCACCCTACCCTTGTAAAACTAGGGGTGCTAATAATAGTCTCCACCTCATAGGATTCTGGGAGTATCAAATGAATGGACACATAGGAAGTGCTTTGGAGTGCCTGACACATAGCAAGTAGTTCAGAGGTGTTTGTTGGGCATGTTTAAATGAAGGTCCCCCAGCAAAACACTCATGTCAGCCCATTCTGATCAGCTTTACTTATTTAAAGAGGCTGCGTAAAAACCTAGAAGATCTAAGAGACTTAGTCCTGCATGATCTTGGGAGGAAAACAATTCCAGAGAACAAAGGCCTTCCCTAAGATCAAATGCTGCAAACTAGGCAGTCACCTGACTGCCTCAGCAGGGGACCCAGAGTGGAGGTTGGAAGGGCAAGACCTTGACAGTTCAGACTTTTGTAGGTAATTGTGTACAGGCAGAGGTGTTCTGGTGATGCAGTGGTTAAGTGTTTTGCTGCTGACCAAAAGGTGAGCAGTTCAAACCTATCATCCCCTCCACGAGAGAAAAATGTGGCAGCTGCTCCCATAAAG